TACAGTACAATGATAACTACATACTTTTAAAAAATGCCTATATACAAAAGGAAAGAATGGATCAGAAATTAATAAGCCAAATGTTACCCCAAAATGGTTGTATTTACAGGCTTGTAAGTTTTTACTACAGGGCTGACACACAGGAAGTGTTAAGAAGAGTAACTATTATTTTTGCTTTGTTGTTATGAACAGCAATACATATTTACTTTTTATTTAGATCTGGTATTACTTTAAAATAAAACGTAATCCTCTTGAAAGAATTCAAAATTAAATTTGAATGGGGGTGACTTTTGGGTATTGCAATTATGGGTAATTTATACTTTCTTGCTTGTCTTTTTTCTGAATTTTATACAAGAAACATATATTCTATATATAAATGTTAAGGGAGTTTATTTTATTTATTTATTTATTATTATTATCATTATCATTATGAGGTGGAGTTTCACTCTTGTCACCACCCAGGCTGGAGTGCAGTGGTGCCATCTCGGCTCACTGCAACCTCCGCCTCCCAGGTTCCAGCGATTCTCCTGCCTCAGCCTCCCAGGGAGCTGGGATTATTGGCGCCCACCACCACACCTAGCTAATTTTTTTATTTTTATTAGAGACAGGGTTTCACCATGTTGTCCAGGCTGGTCTCAAACTCCTGACCTCAGGTGATCCACCTGCCTTGGCCTCCCAAAGTGCTAGGATAACAGGCATGAGCCACTATGCCCAGCCAGGGGTTTTTAAATGTTTAACTTTTAACATCTATATTTAACACGTGGTTCTTACTGATCTGAACACATTACTGTTCTGAAGTTCACTCAGAGTCAATTTATTGAAATCATATTCACTACAGTATGTTAAAATTGGTCAAGATAAGTGACCTGGAAAGCAGGACTTATACTTTCTACACTTTATACCTCTGTAAAATTTTACTTTCTTATACTGAACATGTATTATAAATGCACTATCTATATAATTTTTTAAATAATTTAAAGGAAAACTTGGAGAAAAACAAACTGTTTTGTCCTCAGACTATAATCAGGGCACTTAATACTCTTGTGAAAAAACTAATACAGTAACTATCAACAAGTAATTTCAAACTAGTCATTTCGAACAGGTACGTTGCTTTTAGGAAGGACATGACTGTATATGGAAGGTAGTTCAGAAAAAGAGAAAAAAGTCAAGCAGGCAGTTATTTCTCCGTTTTGTTGTCTTGGTAACTGAGGCATCTGCGTGAGCTGTTTTCTATTATTTTCCAATCCTGTCCCAGAAAGAACATTTTCAAATGGGAAGGCAGATATACTGAGGGTGTGATTAATCTCCCTGAAAATGGACCGTTACAAATAATGTCAGTGGACTCAAGGATAAAAAAGAACCCAAACAAAAGTACTAGCAAACTATAAACCCAACGCTAAAGGGTGTTACACATTTGGTTCCCTTTACAGAGTAATATGAAACGATTTTTCAATAGGCTCAAAATTTCTACAGCTTGAATCTAAAAGGCCCAGGCAAGTGTGGCTTACTCAGAAACCAGTCAGAGTGGGGAAATGCTTCATTGGGCCAAAATCACTAATACAGAGAAATAAAACTTCCCTGGTGAAAGCTCCAAAGAGCAAAGAGTATGACTTCATGGAATAAATGAACATGTATTATAAATGCACTATCTAAATGGAGTCTTTTTTCAACAGCCACAGGTAAAGTGAAATTGATTCTACCATAAGCAACTCAAGAAAACAAAGATTGGGAGCAACGGTAACTATGTTACAGAGCGATATTAGTATAACACATCACAAAGCTTTTGCATGCATGTATCTTTCTAAAACCGGTTGCTTACAATCAGCCACATACATCCCACCAATAGCTGCAGAGTAGAAATTTAAAGAGCTATAGATGCTCTTAGTTGGGCTGGTATTTGCCTAGATTCAGGTCAGCTCTACCTGACACAAGTGAAAATGTTAATAAATTTTATTAAGTTTGAGAGCATAAAAAAAGAACAAGAATGCTGTTTTCTACTTTTTTTCCCTCTTACTCTACACATTGCCCAGCACAGATGAATGATTTATCTTGTAGTGAATCAATAAACCAGCTGGGAAAATGTCAGAGATATCAGTTAGCAATAGAAAAAGATAGACCCTCAGATTCAAGCAATTAACAGAAAAAGTAAGCAGCATTATTTTCTGGGTGGGCCAGCTTCCAAAAACCATTTTTAAGCTAAAAGAAAAACTCAATTCATCCTAAAAACCATAATGTTTGAGTTACTCTCTATACAGGACAGAAAAAAAAAATGAGTTTAATTACAGACCCTATTTTTCATATTCAAAAATAAAGTTTTTAGTTATTTTTAGTTATTTTAGTTACTCCAAAAACAAAGTATGATACAAAAATTACCCAGATGTAGTGGCGCATGCCTGTAATCCCAGCTACCCAGGAGGCTGAGGCAGGAGGATCCCTTCAACCCAGGAGGTGGAGGTTGCAGTGAGCCGAGATCGCGCCACTGCACTCCAGCCTAGGTGACAGAGAGAGAGTCTGCCAAAAGAAAAAAAAAAATGGTGATCATTGACGTCCTGTCTTAAGGAGAAGGTAAGGGAGGATGACAAAGAGAAGAAAAGAAAATTGAGTCCAGCAAAAAGAGGAAAGAAAGTACACCCAATACCTAGTCTCCCAGCGACAGCCACTGTGGATAATCTTAGCATAGGCATGTCCAGATTCTTCTCTTTGCTTGTACAGATTTTCCCCCAAATATATTAGTATGACTTTTTTTTTTTCACTTAAAAATATAGAGGGTATCTTCCTTTCTGCATTTATTTTCCTCTTTCCTTCTTCTTTTTCTTCCTGAAAAATTGAGTCCAAGATCATTAAATCATTGAGTGGAGCCAAGTGAGGAATGGACCCTGTGGCTGAGTGTGAGGGGAGGGTAGGGAGGGCAGGCTGTGGCAGCCCAGCATGGGGTACATCAGAGGCAGCAGTGGGGGAGGAGTAGAGGAGGAGTGAAGAGTGACATCCGCAACCTCGTGCAAAGTGTCAGAATTCAAGTGGGGCCAGGCACGGTGGCTCATGTCTGAATTCCAGCACCCTAGGAGGCAGAAGTGGGAGAATCCCTTTAGCTCAGGAGTTCGAGATCAGCTTGGGCAATATAGTGAGACCCCTGTCTCTACAAAAAATTAAAAATTAAAAAAATTATCCAGGCGTGGTGGCACACACCTGTAGTCCCAACCACTTGGGAGGCTGAAGTAGGAGGATCGCCTGAACTTGGAAGGTAGAGGTTGCAGTGAGCTGAGATCTGAGATCATGCCACTGCCCTACAGCCTGGGCAACAGGGCGAGACCCTGCCTCAAAAAAAAAAAAAAAAAAAATACAACAACTAAAAAATTAGAAAAATTTTAAAAAAGAATCCAACTGAGTGAGGAGGACACCAGCTTGAGGGGCAGCCTGCTGCGTGGTGGCTCCCAAACAGGAATTTAGAGAGTAAGCAGGATGAGAAGAGCATTTGTGAGGGGGTGGGCACTGGTGGTGATGGTGAGGCAGGAGAACAGGGTCTGGAGGCAGGGAACCTATGGCTGATTCACACTGACTTCCTAGAACTAAATCAAAAGGAAAACCCTAACTTTTCATGCCCAAGTAACAAAAGGACTGGAGGCTACTACCTTTGCAAACCACCCCTTTTCTCTGTGGCAGATGAAAAATTCAAAGTACCTCTGATTTGTCTCCTCCTGCAACCAGTCAGGCTGGTCACCGGCCAAGGCTTCATTTGCCTAGAAGTATAACTTTGTAACTTTACTTCAGCCTCTGATCGGTCACTTTGCACAACCAATCGGACATTTGCATAGCGTGTAACTTTGTGACTTCACTTCAGCCTCTGATTGGTCCCCTCCCACAACCAATCAGACTGAACAAGGGCCACTACTTCCTTTACATAGGGTGTATACCAAGTAACCAATGGAAAATCTCGAGAGTATTTAAACCCCAGAAAATTCTGTAACCTGGCTCTTGAGCCGCTTGCTCAGCCCAATTTTACTCTGCAGAGTGTAGTTTTGCTTTCAATAAATCTCTGCTTTTGTTGCTTCATTTTTTTCCCTGCTTTGTTTGTGCGTTTTGTCCAATTCTGTGTTCAAGACGCCAAGAATCTGAACACCCTCCACCAGCAACAATGGGAACTAATTTACATACATATGGGGTATTCAACTAATAATATATTGAGAACCAGGTGGTTTCTCATTGTTAGAGAAGGAAGGTATTAATATGGAAAAAAAGAAGACGGGTGTGAAAATTGTGATTGTAGGTAGAAACTAGAGAGATCAGTGTGAATTCATGGATATGCATTCTACACCAAGGAACCAGGGGTCCTTGAGAAATAGCTAATACGAGGGCTAGAGCAAGGAAAGGACATAATATTTGTTTATTGAGGCTACTGTAGCAAATTATCACAAGCTTCATGGTTTAAAACAACAGAAATGTTTTCTCTACAGTTCTAAAGTCCAGAAGTCCAAAATCAATGTGTCAGCAGGGCTGAGCTCCCCCCGGAGGCTCTAGGGGAGAATCCTTCCTTGCCTCTTCCAGCCTGGAGAACCCTAATACAAATATCAATGTTAATTTCTTGATGTTTATAGTTGTATGTTGATTAGGTAGCAGAATGACCTATGCCTAACCACAGTACGCAAGTATTCAGGGCCACTGGGACATCATGTTGGCAACTTACTTTAAAATGGTTAAGGAAAAGACATCTTTACTGTTTCTACAATTTTTCTATAAGTTTATTTTAAAATAAAAAGTTTTTTGTTTTTTTTTAATTCAACAATGCTTTTGAAAGAAAAAAAGTATATGGTGGCCAGGCATGGTGGTCCACACCTATAATCCCAACAATTTGGGAGGCCAAGGTGAGCGGACCGCTTGAGCCCAAAAGTTCTAGATCAGCTTGGGCAGCATGAAGAAACCCCATCTCTACAAAATACTACAAAAAATTAGCAGGGCACAGTGGCACACGCCTGTAGTCCCAGCTACTCGGGAGGCTGAGGGGGATGCTCACCTGAGACTGGGAAGCCAAGACTTGCAAAGAGCTATGATTGCACCTCTGCACTTCAGACCGGGCAATGCAGGGAGATCCTTGTCTCTAAATAAACACATCATTTAAAAGCACGTTGTAAACACTTTTCACATCAGCAGTTACATTTGTGTAATATCATTTCAAATGTTTTTATACAATTGTATAGATCATCGCTTATTTAACCAAATCTTCTACTGTTAGACATTTACATTGTTTCCAACTTTGCATTATTTCAAACAGCAGTTTGTTGAACATTATTATAGTACCATAGCTGAGTATATTCTTAATTATTTTCTTCACATAAATTTCTAGAAATGCAAATGCAGGGTCAGAAGCCATTCATTGCATACAGATATTTCCAAACTACCTTTTGAAATGCTAAATTCCCTTGCCACCAGCAAACTTAGACCCTTGCTTTAAGTAGAATGATAGGCCACTGCTCAGCCAGAATTCACAGCTCCTTAAATGCTCTAGCCAAGCACTCAAATTGCCCAGATTCCAGTCCCAACTTCTCATTCACACCTTAAATACTTCTCCTGGTTAATATGGAGTCTCTATGCCAACCTGATAGTACTGCCCTTCAAAGTGTAAACCACATGTGTGAGCTGAGAATGGGCTTTTGAATTAGATCAAAAGCTAGTATTTGATGCCTAGCTCACCTACTTAATAGCTCTTCTACTTTGGAGAAACTACTTACTGGTACAACATTTTAACCATATGATATGTTTTTATTAAATTCTAAGAGTAAAATCATTTTAAAATATGAAATTGCAAAATCATGTGTGTTAGTCCAGGTCCTCTAAGAAGTAGATACACACATGGTATTAAACATACAAGAATTGTATTAGAGAAAAACACCTGTGGGAGAAAATAGGTGGGGAGCCAAGAAGGCCTGGAGATCCACCAGATTGACAGATTGACACAAGGAAAGAGGACCCAAGCAAAGGAAACGGGGGGAAAAGTTGAGTGGAAACATCCCAAACAGCCAAGGCCTAGTGATCTAAGGTGATCTCAGTGGACCTTTTGAGAAGTCCTCAAGCTAAACTCAGCTGGTAAAAGAGTCTGTCTCCTAGAAATGAGTCTGCCTTAGCATCTCAGCCACACCCAGTCATTGGCTTGGCACAACCCCTGGGAAACATGGCCTGGTGCAAATGCGGCAGTGCACATCAGAGCACTGCAGCTCCAGCCCTTGCACAGTTATGTTCTCTGAAGTTAGAGAGCTGCAAGTCACACGTTCATAGTGGCCATACCTCGTTTATTCTCTGTCTCTGCAGGTTTCCAGCTGGGGAGCAATGCAATATTTAACCCCATTTGGGGAATCAGCAGCTCAGACTCTGGAACAAATTCTGCCTCTTGGAAGAAGGAGGTAACAGATTATATTTTTCTATTCACGAAGAGATTTGGAGGACTTATAGGAATAAATTGAGGCAATTTTACCGAGGACCATAAGAGAAGGCTAGAATAAATGAAGAAATATACTATTTCCCTGAATGGAAAAATTCTAATGTTATGAAAATATTACTTCTCTCCAAATTATTTGCCATCCCAGTCAAAATAACCATGGGATTGATGACATTCTTTGGCTATTCCTCTTAAAGAATAAATGGGAAGGAATGGTTTTAAAATGTTAGAAAGGATTAATAAAAGAAAAGTTCATACACTTAGCAGACACGGAAAATTATAATGTTTGGTCATTAAAACTGTGTGGAAGACAGACTGATGGAAATGATTAGACCTAACTACAAAGAGTATTTAGTCTAGATTAAATGAGGCCTTTAAATCAGTTCTGAGATAATCAAATAAATGGTTTTGGAAAAGTCTACTTGGAAAAATAAGATCCCTAAATCTCACCAAACACCAAAATAAATTACAGATGGATTACATTTTTAATGTAAAAAAAAAAAAAAACGAATAAAATACTTAAAAATGTATGAGAGATTACTTACCTGAGTTTAGAATGGAGAAAGCCTCTCTAAGCATACAAGCAAAAGCATAAAGCCATAACATTAAAGATTGATAAATCTGACTACATTAAAATTTAAGACTTACGCAAGTAAAAAAACACCACAAAAGATTCTGGGAATGTGGCAGTTGCAGAAATGACGTAGTTTTTTGTTATTTCTGAATTGCCATGTAACAATAGACAGAGAAACTATTTAGCAATGGCAAAATCACTGGCAACATTAACAATAAACCTGGGTGAGAGGGCATGCCCACAGACTCCAAAATTCAAGCAGATAAGGACAAACCACCAACAGTCACGATACCTGTATGGTATTGACATCTTTGCAGGAGGAAACAGAGAGAAGCCACCAGGCATCTGACGGGGTGAGAACAGCAACACCATAGAACAGCCAACAGATATCCACAGTAAAGAACAGCAGAACACCTTGACAGCAGACACTGGAAGAGATTTCCCATGAAAATACAAAATGATACAAAAAGAAACAAACAAAAAGGCATCTTTAAGAAATGAGTAACAGGTCTAAAAGAGAAGCAGTAGAAGATGACTCTGGAACATCTTGTTACAGCAGTTGATATGGTTTGCCAGTGTCCCCACCCAAATCTCAGCTTGAATTGTAGCTCCTATAATCCCCGCATGTTGTGGGAGGGACCCAGAAGGAGATAATTGAATCATGGGGGTAGTGTCCCCCACACTGTTCTCGTGGTAATAAATAAGTCTCACGAAACCTGATGGTTTTATAAGGGGAAACCTCTTTTGCCTGCTTCTCATTCTCTCTTGCCTGTCACCATGTAAGACATACCTTTCACCTTCTGCCACAGTTGTGACGCCTTCCTAGCCACACGGAACTTCGAGTCCATTAAGCCTCTTTTTCTTTATAAATTACCCAGTCTTGGGTATGTCTTTATTAGCAGCGTGAAAATGGACTAACACACCAGGTAAAAAGGAAACTGTCAAAAACTACTAGGGTATTGACAAAATAACTCTGTGCAGCCAACTCAAAGAGGATTCTACTGGCCAAAGATAAGACAATAGGCTCTCAAGAAGGTTAATTGTTGCAATGATCTGAAACCCATCACATAAATTTAAACCCAAGAGTTCATAAGAATACTAATTGGGCTGGGTGCAGTGGCTCACGCCTGTAATTCCAACACTTTGGGAGGCTGAGGTGGGTGGATCGCCTGAGGTCAGGAGTTCAAGACCAGCCTAGTCAATATACTGAAACACCATCTCTATTAAAAATACAAAAAAATTATCTGGGCGTGGTGGTGGGCGCCTGTAATCCCAGCTACTCGGGAGGCTGAGGCAGGAGAATCACTTGAACGCGGGAGTCGGCAGTTGCAGTGAGCAAAGATCACGCCATTGCACTCCAGCATGGGCAACAAGAGCAAAACTCCATCTCAAACAAACAAACAAAAAGAATACTAACGAATTAATATTTTTAAAACCTAAATTAATCACTTTCAGATGTTGATAGGAAACCAGTTAATTATCTTGGAGATCTAATTAATAAAGGACATGAATCAAGCATGTATATTTCCTGTCCTGTATGAGCTGCATCCTATATGAATTATAGCACGAGAGTAACAAAAATTATATTTATGAGCATATTCTAGCCAACAAGTGAAGGAGAAGTGATAAAATTTGAATAACACCATTTCATAATCCCCAGTGAATTATTAAATCTAGGCACAAAACATTCGCAGCTGTTAACATCACCATCAGAGAGACCGTCAGACATCACATGCCTCTTGATAAAACCGTCAACAGTCTTGCCAAATACATCAAACCTAGTCTGACCCAGTTTCTGAATACAGATGCCAATTTGCAGATATAAGATGACATTTTAAATTTCACCATGAGTATGCATTTAGTAAAACCCATATCGTGAGAAGCTCTATAGATCAAATAGTCTGGTTTCTTCAATAAATACATTGTTATGAAAAGAAAGAAATGGGGTGGGAGACAGTATAAAATAAAAGAACCTTAAACAACATACTAATATAACAAGAGTTGGCAGGGAAATTAGAATCCTTGTAGATTGCTAGTGGGAATATAAAATAGTGCAGCTGCTGTTGAAAAAAAAAAGCTTAGCAGTTCTTCCAAAAGTTAGCTGTAGAGTTCTCATATGATCCAGCAATTCCATTCCTAAGTATATATCCAAGAGAAATGAAAACACAAGTTCACACAAAAGCTTGCACACAAATATTCATAGGACCGTTATTCATACTAGCCAAAGACTGGAAACAACACCAATGTCCAATAGTTGATGAATGGATAAACAAAGTATAGTATATACACACCATGGAATATTATTTGGCCATAAAAAGGAATGAAGTGCTAATACTTATTATAACATAGATAAGCCTTGAAAAATTTATGCTAAGTGAAAGAAGCCAGATACAAAAGGCACATGTCATATGGTTCCATGAATATGAAATGTCCAGAATAAACACATCCTTAGAGACAGAAGGATTAGTGGTTGTCAGGGTCAAAGTGAAATGGGAATAGGAAGTGACTGCTAATGGGTACAGGGATTCTCTTGGGAGTGATGAAAATGTTCTGGAGTTAGATATTGTTTGTAGGTGCACAACTGTGAGAATGTGCTAAGAAACACTGAATTGTATGCTTTAAAAGGGTGAATTTTATGGTATGCAAATTATATTCTAATTTTAAAATAACAAATAAAGGGGACATGTTAATTTTTCATGAATGATACTAAACCACAGCATTTATGGAGGCACGTTTGGGTGTTCAAACTATTAAAGAAGTTATTTTATAAAAGTCAGGCAGTGGTTACTTGCTGGGGGAAGAAGGGAGATAAAGATGAGCATAGAGGGGCTTTGAGGGAGACAAACTTCTCTTTCTCCACCTGGGAAGTAATTACAAAGATGTATAATTTACAGTAATTCACTAAGCTATGTTTTCGTTTTGTTTGGTCATCTCTATCCATATTTTACAACAAAAACATTACTTCTAAAACATCATAAGATGAAAAGGCACACTATAAAAAGTCCATCTATGATGGCAAATGATTAATATTCTTATTTAATAATCTTTAAAAAATTAATAAGAAAAAACTTAGCTCACTTTAAAAACGAACAAAGGTATTTCATAGAAGACCTACATTGGCCAGTAAATATATTTTTTAATGTTCAAACTTGCTTATTGTCAAGGAAATGCAAGTTCAAATAAAAAATAAGAGTGTGATTGATGATACTGGAAAAGATGAAAATAAAATGGCAATACCTAATGTCGTTGAGCTTGGAGAGAACTGGCATTCTCCCACAATGCTGAAGGGAATCTAGTTTGTCATAACTAGTTTGGAGACTAATTTGGCAATATTTAATATTAAAAATTTTTTTTCAAAAAACTTTTTAAAAAACATTTACCTAAATGACTTCACTTTTAAGAATTTAGTCCAAAGAAATTATCATGAAAGTCTGAAAAGGGATATAAACAAAGATGTTTAGCAAACTATTACATAGTTTTAAAAAACTAGAAATAACTAAATGTCCAATAATAAGGGGCTTTTTAAATTATCAACTCAAGGAAATAATATGTAGCCATAAAAATGTAGAACACCTAATAATGTCAAAAATGTTAGTAAGATGGTTTTGAAAAGAGCAAATTTAAAAGCAATGCCTACTGCAATACTATTATTTCCTTGTAAACATTTATACGATTCCATATAACACACATAAATAACTGTGTGCAGAAGAAATGGGGAAAGCAGATTTATCACAAAGTGAGTATCTGTTACCACCACCCAAGTCTAGAAATAAAATCATTAGGGCACCCCCAAAATGCCCTCCTTCCACCTCCCAATCTCTACACCCTCCCTTCTGTGCAAATCAACCACATTCCTGATAGGATTATAATCATTTCCATACTTTTCTTTATAGTTTCATCACTTGCATATATATCAGTAAATGCTGTAATTTAGTTTTGTCTGAATGCAAACATTATATAAATGGAATCCTATAGTATATGTTCTTTTGTTCTTGGGATTTTTCACACAACATTTTGGTTGCAAAGCTCATCCCTCTTGTTGCACACAGTGACCGTTTTTCATTGCTGTATACATATTGGAATGGAAAAAGCCTTTCTAACGGGTTACATGAATATACCACGATGTCTTCATTCACTCTGCTCTTGAAGGACATTTAGCTTCCAGTTTGGGAATATGCTACTACAAACATTCTTCTAGATGTCTTTCATCACACAGGGAGCGTATAACTCTGTTGAGTGAATTAGGAGTAGAATAACCAGATGAAATGATATGTAGATCTTCAGCTTTTATAGATTATATCAAACAGTTCTCCAAATTGCCTATGACCATTTGTCACTCTCATCAGCACGGTGAGAATTTCCATTGTTCATATCCTTAATAAGACTGGTTATTGTCAGCCTTAATCATACTATGGTTATGTAGCAATATCTTGTTGAGATTTGAATTTGTATTTTCCTTATTTCTAATAGCTTTATTGGCCATTTAGACATAGTCTTTTATGAAGTGCCTATTCAAATCTCTTGCCCATTTTTTCTATTGGATTGTTTTTATTTTCCTCTAAAAGTATAAAATATAAGTGGAGAAAAAGATTTTTAAAATGGACTGCATGGATCTTCCATAATGGTAACAATGACTATTTCTGAATGATGAAATTATGAGGGATTTATATTTTCTTCCTTGGGCTTTTCTGTAGTTTTCTAATGTCCTATAATTATTATGTATTATTTTCAGAAAGTTTAAGTGTTACACAATTACAGTGAATAAAAACAATCAGTTTTAGCAAAGACACTGTCCAGGGAATAAAGTTGGAACACTGACTTGTTAAATTTATGGTATATAGGTAGAGTATCATTTATTTGAAATGCTTGGGACCAGAATTGTTTCAAATTTAAGGTTTTTTTTTTAAAGTTTTGGATATTTGCATATACACACTGAAAGATTTCAGGAATAGGACCCAAGTCTAAACACAAAATTCGCTTATGTTTCATATATGCCTTATACACATAGCCTCACGGTAATCTTATATGATATTTTGAATACTTTCATGCATTAAACAAGGTTTTCCCTGTGACCCATCACATGAGGTCAGGTGTAGAATTTTCCACTCTGGTGTCATGTTGGTGCTCAAAGAAGTTTTGCATTTTGGAACATTTTGGATTTCAGATTTTTTTATTAGGGACGTTCAATCTGTATTTGGATGATTTACGGTGGTGAATCTCAAACTATTATAAGGTGTTCCACAGTTAAAATTGAATAATAGTGACCTTTTCCAATTTTCAATGGTTTCATTTATTTTGCTTAATGCCTTAGTACCAAATTTAAAATACCAAGTTATTGACTTATATACATGTCAGCGAATTTATATGTCCAATAGGATCAAGAAGAAACAAAAGAGAGAACTTTGAGTCATAATTAGGAAATCATTCTCTATATCGAGAATGTCTTCTTTCACTCTCATCAGAACTCATACTATTGTAGCAGCTTCTTAAATAAAAGTATGTGTTCTGATAAATCACACATTTCAAGGTGTTAGATTTCTTGTATCCAAAATAATTAATTATCAAACATTAATTAAATAGCTGTACCCAACAGTGTATAGCA